TTCCAATTCTTCCTGAATTTTGTTTTGTTTTGTTTTAAAATGCAGGATTGAAAAGGCCGGAGAATGCTTCCTGTCTCCCTTTTCCTTCATTTCTTCCATGACATACTACTCCTTCTGTTCCCAGTAGATCTGCCATTTTAATAACTTCAAACCTCTTAAATGTTTTCACATATTATTTGTTCCTATCTCTGAAGCATGAGTTTCCCATTTTTCATTTTGACAAGGGCCACCCCCCAAAAAAATAAGGGCTTGTAATTTTATTGAGTAGACTGTTAATTTGAGGCACTGTTTAAGAAATAAGTTTTATACTAGGAATCTGGAAAAGGGTGCCAATCAGATTATAATAGATTCTGTACTCGTACTTGTGAGTTATTATGTATACCTGTTAGGGAAAAGAGCTGAGAAACATGTTATACACCCATGAAGAAGGATCAAATAGGAAATTATTACATAGGGGGATACTAATTCAATGTAATAGCAAAGTATATTAAAAATGTGGTGAAACTAATTAGATCTGACGATGTAAAATTTGCATCCTATATTTTTAACTGCATATGGTCCATTATTCTCAAATCTAGTAACAGAAAATATTTCCATATTTAATGATCTCCCACTAGGAAGAGCCATAGAAATATCTTAATTAAAATATATCTTAATTAAAATAAAACATAAGGTTTTGTTTTTTTATTGATAGATATAAAGAGGAAAATTATTTGCATATTTGTAAAATTGCATTATATCATTAATCTTTACGATTGTCCAAGCCCTTTACTGTACAAAATTGACTATTTTTTGTAGACAAGTGAGCCACCAACTAGGGCGTAAAAATCTTTATTTTTATAGACCATTTTTGTTTCAGCAGGCTTTTGGTGTTTTGTTTCTGTGGTAACCTAATTTATCTTTTCTGAATAAGTCACAAACACAAAAACCACAGTCCATGTGTGGATGGAGGCCTTCCAGGTAGGGAGGTGCAATGATCACCATCATGAAATAAAGGAAACTATGGAGTGGAATCTAAAACTTTTAAGAAAGTAATCTTTGATTTCAGATAAGTGAGACAAACAAATCCCTGCCCAATTGGTAGTTGTTGTTTTTTTCCTTCTAATTTATCAAAACCACAATGTCCAAGTCCAAAATTGGTATAGCTCTCTTATAATGCTCATTTACTATGTGACAGATTTAATCACAAGTAGGAGAATCTGCATGTACAGTGCACATCGACATTTCTCATAGGTGACATTTCAGTTGGCTTTGCAAGACCCTTAGTATTTTCCTTTTTACTTTTGGTCAGGAATGAGTATACGTGCAAATGAACAGGTCAGATTCTCTATGTGGGCCGTAAAACATATACGGACAGACAGATATTTGTGTATACTCAAAAAATAAATTTAAGCTCCAGGAATGAATCTTAAAGCATAGATTTTTCCCACTGTTTAAAATGTTTTCTCATAGCTTTCCATCTTTAAGATTTTAAAGCTATAATTAAAATAGGCATAGGATTACCTCTCCTAGTTAGTATATATTGTACCATGTAACTAGAAATTTAGTATGTATTATCAGTCTTCTCCCACTCCTATGTCTTAGCTTGAACTGTTCCCCCTTTTTTAGAATGTCCTCTGCCACATTGGAATTCCAAGACCTACCCACCCAAGGGTGAACAGCTCTGAGCCTAGTGAAAGGGTATTGGGTTTGTGGAAAATGGCAAAGCTTGAGGCAATGAATTTAACTACAATTAAATCCAAATTCTTCAGTTTTCTAATTAGTAGACTTTCTACATTTTCTTTGCGTTCATTTCCCTATATGTAAAATAAGGTTATTTCTATTTTCTTTTAGAATTGTGATAGGGATTAATTTGGATAATATATTTAAAAGATAAAAACTATCAGGACCCCTTTCCTTGTCCTCCCAATATCATCTTCTCCACAAAACTCTCCCAAACCTAGCTAATAGCAATCTCATTTTCCTTGGAATGCCCATAACAATTCCTCTATTCCTCATGGACTTGACTATTTTCTGCATTGAGTTACTCACTCATTTAACAAACATTGTTGAATACCTACTATGTGTCAGGCTTATATTTTTTTCCTTTTATTTATTTTTAACTAGCTCTTAAGCTTCTGAGGTCAGAGTCTTTATAATATTCATATTCCCTCCTCCATTATCCAGATAGTGTTTGACACTAGTGCTTGAATAAGAATATACTTGTTTCATATTTGGTACAATATCACTGTTGGGTAAAACTGGTCACTATATAATACAGGAAATATCTGTATTCATTTTCATAGGTGTCCATATCCTCAAAAAGGATTACATGCTAGAATTTGTAGTTATGTGTAATGCCAGTGAATGAGATCATCAATGTCTCCATCATTGTTAAATAATAATATAATAAATAAATAGCTAACATTCCCAAGACTAAAAAAGATTATTCTCTTCCTATTCCCACATGAGTCCTTGAAATAGCTCTTGCAAGAGCAAAACACAATTTCCAAAAAGAGAAGGTGAATGAACAAATGGGCTATAGTTATTATGCATGTCTCTGTGGAATTACATTAGCACAGATGTAAGCAGGTTTTCAAAAAACTGAGATTTATAAATAAAGACTCTCATATATACAATATCATGGCTAGATGCAATTCTAAAGTTTCAGGGGAAATTACACAATTTCAGAAATGAGGCGGAGTGTACACAACACCAAGCCATCCAAACGAAAGCTTGAGCACATCATTCAGGAATGTGGTCTTTGCAGGCCCAGACATTCCAAGTGGTTATTGGAAATATGTAATGTGGTTCTGACACTATTTTACTACTTGTGGATGAACTGTACCATAATGAAGTTTCACTTTAATTTGCTGCTCCTCCTAATTGACCACAAGCTAGGAAACCAGAAAGTCAAATTGATTAGAATTGTGTTTAAAATAAGAACGACTAGGCTCTGATTTAAGGCCAATGAGAATATCCTACAAGTAGAGTAAATGGAATGGAAGTGCATGGCTTTATAATATCTATTTTGAGGTCTCGCTAAAAAAACGCAGGTCTAAGAGGAAACAACACTGTGACTTTCCCGTGCAACATAAGCAAGTTTGTAAGAGTAGCTATTCTTTCCCATTGCAGTTTCCCTTGAGAAGGAAAAGATAAGACTCCCTACACTGGCTCCTGAAGAATTCACCTGTGGCAGGGGGTTCACTTGCTATAGACCATGCAGGACATTCAGCAGAAATAGACTCAGGAGCAGACTGTCCACATGCCCTGAAAGCCCAGAGATCTCAGAAGAATTTAGCTTCTGGGCCTCTTTCATGGTCGCCACTCACAGCTACCTTAGGGCTCTCGGTAGGCATCACCCACAGCTTTTTAATTCACTTGGGATGAAGTACCAGGCGACAGAGTTTCTGACCAGGTCCTGAGTGTGGAGGGACTGAGATGGAAATGGGCCCCTCTGCTCCACATGTGCATTCTATCCTTGGCTAACTTGACCAAGAGCCTGAATTTGTTTTTGTTCTTTATCCATTTTTGCTATAGTCACTGATATTAATGCTCATCTGCTGCACCCAAGGTTCAGTCTCTGTGGTGCTGCTCATCCACTTCCTTTTCTTCTGCAACCATTAAAAGAAGGGTATGTGAGAGGGTATGGGAGGCTGACTGCCCAAAAGCTCCACTGGAGGAATGTGGTAGAGCCAGATGTGAAATGGACCTCTCTGAGTGAAGCATACACATCCAAGAGTCACGGCATATATTGGAGAGAAATGACTTTTCAACTGAACTCTGAATTTGTGACACTGTGTGATCCCGCATCCCAGTCAAATGGCTATCCAGATTAGACTTCAAACTGGCCGGTATCATCTCTGATTTTTACTGAGCATTTTTGAAGAAGGAAGAGTCCTTTGGGGAGCTCCTTGATCCCAAGGTCAAGAACTGGACATGGGTTTCTATAGCTACTTCAGAAGAAAATTTCTAATGATTTAAATCTAGTTATCACTTAATGTCCCAACTAGAGCACACATACTCAGAACATCATAACAAAAGACAGTAAGTATATGTTATTTAACACTAACAGCACAGAGCTTTCCCATGATAATGTGGCAGGAGTCAAAATATAAAATCCATGGTATTGCCAATCACATATAAACCAAACGAAACTTGTTCAGATAGCACTCAGGCAATGCTACAGAGGCCTTTATGAAATCATCCAAGACCTGAGACACATAAAAATTTTACTAGTCATCACTGAAATAAAGTACAAACAAGTTTGTCTTATAAAGATCCAAAAATCCTTGTGTTTTAGTCTACAGAGCCATAAAACAGTGCCTGATAAATTTTAAGTTATATTCTAATTAATCGCTGGATTTTTATAGTTTCTTGTGAGCTGTAAGTTAGTTATTAACAAGGCAAAGTGAAAGGAAACCCTCTTGTACTGAGTTTGAGTTCTAAGTCCTTTGCACAAACCCACTAATCAGCCAAGCCAGGTTTTGGTGTTAAGCATCTGCTAGAAATGTTATGCACCATTAATCTGAAGATTATTGTCATTTTCACATTGATTAAAAAGTAGGATGTAGAATGTGCACAAAGTTCACAAACTGATAGAAAATCATTCCAGGTGGCTCTGTCCTGTGCAGGAAACATTTTGGGGGACATTTTTACATTATGTCTTTGGTGAAATGAATACTTTTTCATACACTAATAATATGACCCCCTTAAATAATATCACATACTCAATAATTACCATGAGAAAGTATAACCAGACACTCTTGCATATAAAAATTTCTGATTTATATTCTTCAGTTGGATGCAGTGATGGTGTAGACAATCTGGGACAATTTTATTCCTAGAGAGGAATTTAGTTAAAAGGACGGCAGATTTTTTAAGTGCCCATCACCAAGAACAAACAGCTCCAATGAGAAACAGGGATTTGTTTTCAAAGAATGAATTAAAGTGACTAAAAGATTATTATTTCAATTTCATTTTCTAAAATAAAAATATCTTCAATAAGTATGTCTACCTACCTCATAATATAAGGGATAGCTTATGCCTGCAGATTGTTTTGACTTTTTAGATGTGGTTCCAAATAGTACATTTGCTTCTTCAATCTGTAAGAAAATAAAAATTCATCTATTGCGAGAAAGGCCTACATAAAGAACAATTACATAGATATATGTGACTTTCAAACACCTAGGTGACTTGAGGGGTTGGGAATCTAGCAAGGAAGAGCTATTCATGGACAAGGTAAAGTATTTATAGTCACTGTGGTCAGTGCTCAGTGACTGAATGAGTATGTGCCATCTGACAGGACTATGCTATTGGGCCCCTCTGACAGCTATGAGTCTCTGTAGACTTCAATCTTTCTAGTTAGACTTCCCAGAACATTACATAGTTTTATCTTTTATTTTATTGAACTTTCATTAAATAATTCCTCATATAACCTAGCAGGAGCCAGGTAAGGCCTCAGAAATTTTTGTTGAATGGATGAATATTGAATGACCAATATTCATGGACAAAAGATAATTACTTCAGATTAAACAATTCAAATTATTCTAGCTAAGTGTTTAAAATAATCCACAAAAATTTACCAAATAGCCCAAGAATATGACAGTTTTATTTATTTTATTATTTTATCCTACTATTTTAAGAAAAAATATCTTCGAGGGAGTGGGAAGGACAGTACCTGCTGGAGAATGTCTTGCCAAGATATTATGCTGAAGAGTCTTCGCTGAGGGACCTGGACAGCAAGGGTGAGGGCTCGAATGAGAAGATCATCCTCAACCTGGTTTCCAACAACAAAAGCGACGGAGCCCTTCCAATCTTTCTGTTACAAAACCCAAAGAATTAGACTCTCAATACTCCTGGCTGGGTATTTGTGTGTCAATGGCTTCTACTGAATAACAGAATAATATTTCCATAAATCTTACGGGGGGGGGGGGGGGGGGGAAGGGGACGGGCGGGAAGAGATCAACTAATGAATATATTTGCATACTAGAGGTCCGATGCATGAAATTTGTGCAAGGGGCTCAGCCCTCACAGCCCCTCACAGCCCCAGCTGGCCCTGGAAGCTCTGGCTTGGTCCAGAAAGTCATCTGGACCGTCGTCCAGAAGAATGTTTGGATGGTTGTTCTGCTGTTTGGTCTAATTAGCATATTAGCTCTTTATTATATAGGATTATATAGGATATGCATAACCCATGGACAGACAATAGTGCGGGAAAGGCCTGGGGTAAGGTATGAGAGCAGGGTGGAAGAAGCCAATGGTGGGAAAAAGGGAACATCTGTAATACTTTCAACAATAAAAATAAATTTACAAATAAAACAGTTGACTTTATGTAGCCTATGTGGGTTCCTGAATCAAGTAGCCGCCAGGCGGCAGTATTGTGCCAAATTTCATGTCACTTGACAAAAACACAATTTTCTTGAGAAAGTAGGTCTTTTATTTTAAGGAAGACAACTTTTTAAAATGACACACTTTCACCAGAATGCTATCCAAAACCAATTTGGTGCTGGAAAGCAGTAGGTTCATATGTTACAAAATATACATTAAGATATAATCGCAAGTGCCAAAAACTTTGTTTTGTCCCTGATAGAATCCTAAGATTCTAAATAATTCTAGGAACATAGTAGGAGCTCAAGAAATATTTGTTGAATATTGGATAATATTGAATTTGTTGCCAAATGGACTTTTATATGAGCTAAAAATGCAATCTCTGAAGCATTTGTAAAATACAAAACTAGAACCCATCTTTTTCTCCTAATCTAAAATAAGAATCCCATTGTTAATTCATGAGTTCTTTCCACTCCTAAGAAATAGGCTAAAATATTATACTGGGACATTAATTTTTGCATTAAATGATTGAAAGCAATTTTACTAAAGACAAAATTCTTATTCAGTAATCCCTTTCTCTCTATTATAATTTCTATTGGGAAGAAGCAATTCTCTGGAGGAGATTAAGAATAGAATTTACTGAATTACTCTGCTGTGCTGAGGGAAGAACCAACATGCAAATCAGGCCTCTAACAGTCTTATGGGGAGATGGATCAAATAGACAGGATATAGACATCAGGAAAGAGAGAATAATAAGGGATGGCACTATAGCTATGCGCACTCTCTAGGCCTTAGTTTCCCCATTTATAAAATAAAGAAGGTGCCATTTATAAAATAAAGCGGCTAGGCATGGCAATATTCACTTCTCTCTAGCTCCACTCTAAAGTTTTGATTCAAACAGAGTATAACTCCCCCTTGCTGGATTCCAAAACAATGTTTAAGATGATTTGAAAAGATTTTACACAACTTAAATGAAATGCATTAATTGTATGCGGTTCTCTCTGGTGTCTCTCCACCTCTTTATCAGGGTAATGACAGAACAAGGGTACAGGTGGGAGAAAGGATCTTCGTGCAAATTCTTCCTTACCATCAAATAGTGATTATCACTAAACTCTCTTACTTCTCTCCATGGAAACTTCCTAACAATACTCACCCAATTTTCAATGCTACTACCAAAATAAAAACTACACATAAAAGCACAAAAATGTGTATTTTGCCTGCAAAGAGCAGGTGTGTCGGTGTGCCTGCATGTGGGTGAGGCTGTGTTCCCCTTGTCATATTGAGTTTAAAACCTGCTTTTTTGCTGTTTGCTAATTCACCCTGGGAAGACTGAGCATTTGCTTTTTAAATATTCTGATTCAGAAAAGCAGGTATGATATTCATTATGCATGCTTTAGAAAAAAATTCCATTATCACAAATGAACTTCCTTTTAGACACCTTTCTTTTCTCTTGTCTGTCTCAGTCAAATATGCAACTATAATCATCATTAAAGGAGGAAAATCTCTCTCGTTCTTATAATAAAGTCCATATGGCTCTTGAACAGGCAATCCCATTAATTTCCTAGAAGTCACACTTTCCATCACTGAAGATTTTAATGACCATTTCTATCCCTAGTCCCACTCCCTACTGTAAATGTTCTTGCCAGTATTTGAATGTCAGTGGTGACAAGAAAGGGCTGCCTCTCAGTTCTTTTGGAGATAATTCAGAAGAGGGCATTGTAGTTCAGCATCCACCCCTCAGTATCTGGCATTGAAGGCAGGTGTTCACTATTTCAGACCACAAAAAGAGAAGGGAGGAGGAAGGAACTAACAATTATTGAAAAATGTCATGTGCCAGGCATATGTTATCTCATTAAATCCCTAAGTAATCTCTTTAAATAGGTGCATTAATACTTTATAGATGGGCAAAACAGAGGCCCTACGAAGTTAAAAATCTTGTTAAAGGTCATTTTGGCAAAAAACCACATGGAGACCACATACTGACTTGTAATTTTGTGATCATTTCAGAACAATTTTGAGAGCAAGCCTTTGGGGTCAGAATGCCTTTCTATAATCCTTAAATTGCACCTAATGGCTACTTTAGCCACAGTAACCATAATAGATGAAGATTTATATCACATACCGAGGTGCATAAAACCTTCAAAAATAGATTATTAAATCTTTTAAACACCATAAGAATGCTCTTTTATAAATGACAGTTTTACCAAGACTCAAAGAGATTAAGAAAATTTCCCAAGGTTCCTTCTCTCGAAACCCAGTGGTCTTGTTACTTTGCTCGAGAACACATCTGAACACAAGACCTGCTCCTCTGAGTCACAGCACTGTACTGAAACTTCTGGGACCCCTGGGGTCACCTTGAGGCAGTTCACCTGGGCCAGAGCCAGGCCACATCTCTCCACTAGAAGGGATCTAAGAGTTCTGCTAAGGCTCAGCTTCCCCTCTGCACTCTCTCACCCACCAAACTCCTGCTCCCGAAATTAGAGCTGTTTGGCTAAACAGGACTCCCAGAGGACTTGGTTGGAGTGCTGACTTGTGTTAACCACATGGCCAGAATGCACTGACCAGACAGAAACAATGCAAACCCGGATTGTCTGGGGAGAAGGATGCACTCACTGGCAAGCTGCACTAGGGGGCAGCGAGATGCCAGGAAATGCACAACATTCCACTAACCAAGAGCAAATTGTTTCCTGTGTCTAATTAAATCATGCTCTGCAAATTTAATTTCTAAATCTTTCTCTTAGTAGTTTAGGATAAATGTAGAGTCCAAGTCTCTACTAACTGTCAGTAGTTTTAGAAATAGGAAAATTTTTGTAAAAAAATCAAACACAAAGTAGACATGGCAAAATACTATTAAAAACACCCCTCCACTCGGATCCCACCAACACGCAGTTAAGCAAAAGCCTTACATTTGAGTTCACCAGGAGCAAGAGAAATTTAGTCTAGAGGCTGACCCTGGGGGAGGAAAGAAAGCAGGGTGTGGACAACCTGATTCATCACACGAGAGTCCCGCAGTGCTCCTACCTGTGGGCGAGTTTGTTTAAGAAAGTTCAAAAAGTTTGGGTTGTAATTAGTAGCATAAGCCTAGAGAAAGAAAACATTAATCATTTTAGGAAAACTTCCCTGGATGTATCCAGTGGTGAAGGAAGAGGGCTTTAGTCGGGCACACCTCAGACACCTCAGGAAGTCAGACTGGCTCTCGCTGCCAGGAGGCATCTACTATACATGTTATTGCTGAGTCTTGGCCTCTCGTAGTTATTGATAAAGTCATTCAGAGGATGGAATGAAGTCATGTATGGACACAATCCATTACCCTTTATTTACTTTACCAGTCTCACCTAATTTGAAGCCTGGCAGGAGGGCGTCTGAACCCAAACACTTCCATACTGGTCTCCTAAGGCAAGAAAGCAGTCATGGAAATGCAGACAACCTAGCTGTCTCACATAAGCCCACTGTCCCAGAGACATAGCGTAGATTGATAACTATTTTTCTTTCATATATTGTAAATTCTCCACTTTTTTTTTTAGGCATTCCTACATTCTAATATAATTACAACAACCCTATCAAAAGCAAGTGAACAGTAGCTTTGGTGTGACAGGATGGAGATTGCTTTCTTCTATTAGCACAAACATCAACAGGTACTGGGAAGGCAACTGGAGGCCAGCATGCTCTCCTCTGCTGCCTTGGCCCTGAAAAACCCGGGATGGGAGCCCCACAGTCCTCTATTCAGGACTCCCCTGAGCCTGACGAGCTGACCAATAGTGGGCAGCACCTGTATTTGGAGAAGATTTGTGTAAGAGCCTCAAGAAAAATCAACGCACTGAATAAGTCATGCTTTGTTAAGAGTTGTTTAACACTGTGCAGATATGGAAACCTATACTTTATTGTAATACTCTGCTGAAAGGATAGCCCTTTTGTTAAGTAGATGTGCTGCCAAATGGACAGGGCATTTGTGAACGTCTTTCTCATACTGGGTTTTTCCTTCAAAAGGAGTCTTGGATCTCCATAAGCAAAGGAGTGTTAGTATGGGCTGTTGGCCAGCAAAAGAAATATTTTTATTACATATAACTGGCTGCTGCTATAATTGCATTTGTTAAAAAAAAAATTCTAACTGTAAAATAAGTTGGAAATATAGGTTAAAAGTGTTTATCCTATATGTTATCCTATATAATAAAACCCTAATATGCAAATTGACTGAATGGTGGAATGACTGGTCGCTATGACGCACACTGACCACCAGGGGGAAGATGCTCATCATAGGAGCTGCCCCTGGTGGTCAGTCAATTTGTAAAATACTTTTCTCTTTGGTAACAATATTGTTAACTGATATATTTCTAAAATACTTTAGATCCTTGGAAGAGGGGCAAAAATCATGAACATGGGATTTTTATTTAAAGTTCTACAGGTATATAATTTTTGGAGCTCTGGGAGAGAATGTGAGAGTGTGGCACCTGGTGCAGGTCTATCAGAGAAATAAACCCATCACCAACATGAAAG